TTTGTAAAACCAGCTGAATTCTTTGATTAATTTATGTTTTCAATGGCTACGAACTCCCTGGGCAATTTATTGATTCCAAAAAATTTTTCCCACTATGGGGGGTTGGGCTTATTGGTCTATAGTTCAAAAGCTAAGGACCTGTCCCCTGTTTAAAAAATAGGTACACATTGCCATTTTCCACTTATTGGCACCATGCCTTTGTATGATTGTTGAAAAGATTACCCAAAAGGGTTTTTGCTAAGCTCCTCTTTACATTCCTTTAAACCCTTGCTCAGTTCATCAGGGCCGGGGGATTTGTTGGGTTTTAATTTACTATTTCCCAAAGGACCAGTCACTTTACCCAAATCGTGACATTTATTTTTCCCTGTTCCACTAATTTATCATTTCGGGAATATCGCTGTATCCTCCTGTGTAAAAACTAAAGGGGAAGTATTGTTAAAACTTTACACATTTCCTTATCACTGTCGGGGTCTGACCCGAGGAACTTTTGAGGGGGGCCTATTTTGTCCCTGATTTTTACTTCTGTAACCTAAAAAACCCTTTTTGGGGTTAGTCTCGAATCTCTTGCAACTTTAACCTCTAATCCTTTTTTTTTTTTCTAATTCCTTTTTTTTTTTCTCTCTTTAACTGAATATATCATTTTTAATTGCCCCCTCCCTTTTATTTGCCTATATATGCCTTCTTTTGCCCAATTAATTTTTTAATCTTTTTTCATCCTTTTTAGATCTTTTTGTTTTATCTTTTTCCCCCTTTTTGGAAAAAATTTGCTGACAGCTAGAACTATCCCCTGGAAACGTCATTCGGCACCATCTCACCTCCCTACCTTAGTGGGTCTTCCGTTCAGCCCATCAAGTAATTTTTCAGTCCTTTTAAATCACCAAGCGAAAGTCGGGACAGGACTAGTTTCCCATTTTTAGGGGAATTCCTATATTTTAAAAAACTGAGTGATTTGTGATCACTTTCCCCAAGCTCATCAAAACCCAAGATTATTAATTAGGGTTTCCCTACTGGCAAGAACCAAGTAAAGGGGGTTTTTTTCCCCCTAGTAGGCCTGTCAAAAATTTTTTAAAAAACAATCGGGATCGTTAAAGAAATCCCCTGACTTAATTTCCTGTCAAATTGCTCCAGTCAATCTGTCTATATTGAATTCCCCCTTTACACAACATTTTCGTTTATAGTCCCTTTACGAATTTCGCCCCCATAAAGTTTATGCACCCCTACAAAATTTGGGGCCCTGTAAAACACACCCAAATTGTTTTTTCCGGCCCCCGAGAAGCTGTAAACCAAACAGATTCAGTGGGTACGCTTCTAATTTTTTATTTGTCTAACACAACTTTAAATTGTCTCTACATACATCGCTACTCACCACCTTTCCTGTTTACCCTTTATGTGGAATAATTTTAGCCTTGTATGTGACATTCAGAGGGCATCTCCTATCTTCAGATTGAGCCGGTCTCTGTTTTAGCAATAATATCTATTTTCCCGCACTTTCAATTAAACTTAGCTCATCATCTTATTTTTTACACTCCTGCATTTGTATAGTAAAACCTTAAGGGAGCTAGTCCCTTTCTGCCCCCTGCTGTCCCCCTTTGTTTGCGACTTGATCTATTGTTTTTTTTTTATAACTTCATGTGAAACCTTTTTTACATTTACTGTTTCGAACCCTAGGTTTAACCTGCTTGTTTCCCCCACACACCCCTACCCCTTCTTCTAAGTTTAAAATCATAGGCATTCACCCAAAAAGGGCCCTTCTCAATCGGTTGCAATGCTACCACCCCCGCCCCAGAGAAAGTACCCCACCCGCACAATATCAGTTTCCATAAAAAATTGTTCCCTTGTCAATGAATGGGGTTGCAAGTTTTTGAAATATTGTTTTACCAGCAATTAACCAATTGCCCAGACAACCATTCATTTCCTACTCCCCTTTTTTAGGGAAGATGCTACATATGATTGGGGTCCCTCCTTAGACTTAATGAAAACTTAGCTGACCGACTTTCTAGCCTCTTCTCTCCTACCCTTTCCCAATATCTTCCACCAGCACGAACAGAAATGGGGTTGTTCCCATTACCCGACATATATTTTTCCACCTATTGACTATGTCCCCAACACCACTCCAGGGAAGCACATCTTATCTCATCTTCTTAATCCTTTTTTCAAAACACGGGCAATATTCTTTCCTAGAGTCACCAACCACAGAATGCGCTTACCCCTTACAGGGGCAGTGTACCCCTTTTTCCTCACTGGCCACGAAATACATTCATCCCGAAGAAAGAACGATTTTCCCCCTTCAGATCACTCTTTAAATTTCCTTATTCGATTCTCCTCCCATTTTGGTTTCCACTCGCCACTTTTTTCATCTGGCTGCACCTCATGCTGGTACCGTTGCTACCACCCCAACTACAGCCTCCTCACGCTAATCCCCAAAGCAGGCTCAGGGTCTGTGACCTCACGTGACCACTGACCACTGACACCTCATTGCTTCTCTTTATCCCCAGAGCGCTGTACAGCCCCTGCTGCTTTGGCGTTCCTCCATGACTGTAACCATAATAATTATTGAACATTAGTTTATTTACAGCAAAATATAGTTAATTTGGTGGGTAAAATGATCTTGGCCCAAATTGAAAATTGACAATTATATACAAGTTCTTGACTGTGATTGTCAATGGTCAATACGATTGTTTGTAGAATATAAAGGTATATATATGCATGTAAAAACAAAGAATAAAAAAATAGTTTTTCTGTTATTCAATGCATTTTTTCAAAATTAAGCAATATATATATTATATATATATATATATATAGGAGAAGAAAATATTCAAACAGCTCCGGGGAGAACCTTGAGTTTTCTCTGAGGTACGTTTATTGTCTTCTCTGAGGATGAGGGTCCCCATTCCAGCCATAGAGGTGGTACTTCCCTATATATTGTATATATATATATATATATATATATATATATATATATATATATATATATATATATATATATATATATATATATATATATATATATAATATATATATATATATATATAGCATCACCAGTAATATTCCCTGAGATATAAGTGAAGAATATATGCTATGCATTATAGTAAGAAAAAAGGAGAAGAAAGAAGGGGAGGCAGGAGAAAGTTGCAACCTTGCTCTAGCTGCGGGCGTCAAGCAAGGCCGAGTATGCAACCTGCATCGTGGATGCAATAAGCAATTGCTTGGTCTTTTGTTTAGCTTCATAGGCTGAATTTGCTTGAAATTGTAGCTTTTTTAATTAAGAAAAAAAGATAGACGGTCACTCCCCATTAACCGGAACACCAGGCTTGTTCAGAGATATTTCATCAAATTCTACCACATGCAATGAGCAATGAGAGTAAAATGCTTAACCCCCGGCCGGGGGTATGGTTTATTTGCAATCGTGTCATTACGATTTCTTAAGTCATGTTGACGGCAGTGAAGGGACTTGAGCTAGAGTTCGTCACGGCCACGCTAGCTGGAGATTCGTCTGTAAAAACTTGCATTTGTGGTCACAGAGGTGCCTGTGCTAACTTTCCTATGGTGTAGAAATATACCTAGTTGGATGAATCTTATTGTGGCTAGCTGGTCTAGTGGTTAACGCGACGGGCTGGAGTTTTGAGACTCTATGACCGCGGGTTCAATCCCGGCCGGGGGTATGGTTTATTTGCAATCGTGTCATTACGATTTCTTAAGTCATGTTGACGGCAGTGAAGGGACTTGAGCTAGAGTTCGTCACGGCCACGCTAGCTGGAGATTCGTCTGTAAAAACTTGCATTTGTGGTCACAGAGGTGCCTGTGCTAACTTTCCTATGGTGTAGAAATATACCTAGTTGGATGAATCTTATTGTGGCTAGCTGGTCTAGTGGCTAGCGCGACGGGCTGGAGTTTTGAGACTCTATGACCGCGGGTTCAATCCCGGCCGGGGGTATGGTTTATTTGCAATCGTGTCATTACGATTTCTTAAGTCATGTTGACGGCAGTGAAGGGACTTGAGCTAGAGTTCGTCACGGCCACGCTAGCTGGAGATTCGTCTGTAAAAACTTGCATTTGTGGTCACAGAGGTGCCTGTGCTAACTTTCCTATGGTGTAGAAATATACCTAGTTGGATGAATCTTATTGTGGCTAGCTGGTCTAGTGGTTAACGCGACGGGCTGGAGTTTTGAGACTCTATGACCGCGGGTTCAATCCCGGCCGGGGGTATGGTTTTTTTTCTGGTGCTCCTGGGTGTGGGGAGTGACCGTCTAGCTTCGGCTAGGCGCCCATATTTATCTGGAGTCTGGCGTTGTGGATAAAGTACTGTGTACTCTGGTATATGTATATATCATGGCGAATAGGTAAAACTTGCGATTTTGGCTTAAATAGGAACGCTCTTGTCGAATATGGCAAGCGAAAATTTGTGTATGCAGTAATTTCGCAAAATTCATTCTGAACCTTACGGAAAAAATATATTTCATTGTGTTTGTTTATTATTAAATTATTGTAAACTTATCTAAAATATATTTAGTTGGATTAGGATAAATTAAACTGCTCTTGTTATAATAAAGTTATGTAAGTTTTTTAAGGTTCTTTTGTACAAAATTATTAATTTTTTACATTAACATAAATGAAAAAAAATATAAGAGAAAATTTTAGAAAGGACTTAATTTTAAATGAGTTCTTGCTAATTGACCAATTTAGCTATTTGGCACAGCATATATTATATATATATATATATATATATATATATATTATATATATATATATATATATATATATATATATATATATATATATATATATATATATATATATATATATATATGATACTTAAGTCTAATTAAGAAGGTAAGTGAATTGAATAAATATTTCAGCACATCATGAATGCTTTTTAAATATTTTAATATAATAAATTATTGCATTATTTTGTGAATTTCGTCATATGTGCATAAAATTCAGTCTTAAGCTTTTAATATTCTCCAGAGCAAGACAACACTTAACACACATTAAAAAGATGTGACAGTCATGTTTATATATATCCCTCAATAACAGGAGCAGTAGTCAAGATGGCCAACGCGTTATACACGATGATGATCAGAAAGTTTTCTGTCCTTCCTACGAAATGTATTTTGTTCCCTTCATCACGATGTGTCCTGCGTCAGACTCCATCTGTTCTCTCAAGAGTAGGCTGCCCTGGTCTGTCTTCCATGGCTGGAGTAGCCCCGTCATTGGCTACAACTCGCTCCCACACACAACCTCGGCCACACTCACACATCCCGGGACCCAAGTCATGGCCGGTTATAGGCACCTTACCAGCCATGATTACTGACCCAGGTGAGAGCTCAGGTACACCTTCCAGCTGTGGCTGAAATATGATGTTAGGCTTTTATCCTCAATTCCTTAAAATGAGTCCCTTATCCATATTTTGTTGTAAAATATGTCTTCTTTCAATATTTTTTTTCCCTTGCCCCTTGTGGCTTAGCGCTTCTTTTTTGATAATAATAATAATTTTTCTTGTACAGCCTATGACGCCTCTCGGGTGCCACGTCTTTGGGAATCCTATTTCAAAAAGTACGGACCAATTTTCAAGTTGAACCTCCTTGGGCAGGGAGATGTTGTGTACATATGTGATCCTCGAGATATAGAACATCTCATTACGGAGACTTTTGACAACCCTGTCAGACCATTTTTCGAATCCCTGAAGAAAATTCGCTTGAACAACAAGATGAAGTTTTTCAAAGAAAAGGGAACTGGAATATTTGTTGAGTAAGTAATTCTTCAATTGGTGAATATTATTTTTCTTAAACCTAAATGCAAAAAAAAAAAAAAATGTACGAAGACAGGCAGTGTTACGTTGAACAGTAATTGTATTAAACTGAGTAATATCAATGAAGTTTTAAGCACTAAATCTTACGAAAAATTATACAGTATATGAAGATACACACAAACACAGACAAAAGGGATAGCCTGAGCTTGCTACCACCAGCACCTCACAAGACCGCCATCCCCACGAGCCCATTTGGGGCGGGGCAGATGGCAGACCAGAGGCCTAGCTTCTCCCTGCGAGCCCTGTGAGGGCGGGGACTGTGGCTAGGCCTGAGGACAGTTGGTCCCAAAGATGAGGGGGTACTTGTACCTCCTCCCATGGGAGACTTAGGTCTCGAGACACTTCCCAGATAGGGAGCCAAGGCCGGGTCACCACTCTTGGAAAAGACCCGGGCCGGGAGAATACCGGCGAATAAAAAAAAAAAAAAAAAAAAAACATACACTCTCACACACACATACACGCGATGTAATGTTCACACTCTGCCTTAGCTCCTGTGATAATATTCGAAAGTTTTGATTTAAAAGGTTGAATCACATGAAATATATTGGGCATCTGCTTAGTGCTTACCAGAAGTTAAATTCACTCTCTGTTGTGGATTGTTTTAAGTTCCCGTTCAGACATTTGTGTGAGATCCCTATATTATTATTATTATTATTATTTATTTTACCCTGAGAGACGAATTTACTGGGTAGCGTCATTCATTCTGAAAGTGACACTGCCACCATGGAAGCAGAACATTTCTTTCATAATAGTTGACTCGGCATAGTGATTTCAACTGCTTCTTTGGCAGTTTCAATAAGAAAGTTAAATATATAATTTTTCACAGGCAAGGAGACAGCTGGTGGCGTGTGAGGAGCCAGGTCCAGGTACACGCCACGAAACCTAAGTCTGTGGCTCAGTACCTGCCACAGGTGGACCAGGTAGCACAGGAGTTCGTAGCTAGGTAGGTGCTGTTCGACTCATCCGAGTGAGGAAATGCATTTTATATTTTGTTTTTATTTTAAATTATGGTTTCATATATATTGTGGCATAATTTGAGAGAAGAAATCTGCACGAGAGTAGTTTTTATAAACAGATCAGCCGGACAGAGGGACAACAAGAACGAGCTTCCTGGAGATTTTAGCCTAGAACTGTTTAAGTGGGCGTTGGAGTGTGAGTACTTGTACAACCCTCTTATTTACTTGGATGAAGAGGACCTCAGGTTTTTAGTACAATAATCAATTTGTCTTTCTGATTAATTCTTAAAATGGTGAGTTTATATCAAACACAGTTATGTATACTTTCGAGATGTAAAAATATTTTATTTAATATTTCACTTCAGCCCTGAGCCTGGTAGCACTCAACAAGAGATTGGGATGCCTGGAGAACAGTGAGGAAGGGTTGAGGATCATCAATGCTTCCCTCACCATGATGGACGCTTCAGGAGAATGTGAGTACGCTGTCCAACTGTGGAGATACTTCACCACACCAGCGCTGAGTCGCATGTGGAAGGCACACGACGTAATTCTTAAGTAAGTTGTCATTTGTCTTACGTGGTTTTATCCCTAAAATAGTAGCATAAATTTTTATAACACAGTATGCCATTAACATTCAACAGTGTGGTCTTGGAGAAGGTGCACCAAGCAAAGATGGAACTGGAAGCACGAGACTCCAGGGACACTTCTGAGCTGAACATCCTTGAGTCTCTCCTCATTACACCGAACCTCTTCCTGGAGGATGTTGTCACCTTCATGGTCGACCTTTTCTTCGCTGGCTTAGACACGGTAAAAAACTGTGCACACAGATCGCTCTCCTAGAATTAGTGTCAAAGTTATAGAGATATATTATTATTAAATGTGAATGAAGTATCCAATAAGCAAAATTGATATATAAAATGCATTTTTTCTCTCTCATTTGGTTTCTGTTATGAAGATGAGGGGTCGGTCGATATGTGAATAGAAGTTCAATTGGAATTAAATACTTTTTACTCATTGGACGTTCTCTGCGAGGGTTGGGTAACCGCCCCTCCCCCCCCCAAAAAAAAAAAAAACGTAAACACTCATCATCAGTCAGAATTCGTACACGTTTCTGGCTCCAATTTCTAGACAATTTAACTGGAGTTGTGTTGTTCTAGCTGTTGAACTGTATCATTTATATTTGCCTTAATTTATTTAGCTACTGAATTAATTTGCGTAGAATTATAAATATATGTTAATCGGGCACAATATACTGCTCATGGCATTTTATTAAAAAGACGTTTCTTCCACCAGGGGACTTTGTCAGGACTTCTAATGGGCAAATCGTCTTCTCAATAAAATGCCATAAACCGAATGTTGTGCTATTTTAACATAAATGTCGGTATATAACACCATATTATATTGTAGCTAATTTAAACACTCGGAATTACATAATTTTGCCAACGTTTGTAAAAGCTTTGACCTGTAATTAGAACCTCACTCTTACTGTAGCCAACTTAACAAAAAAATCATTCACGTTTATGACAAGTTTCACAACAAATAGGACGACGGTTTTTATTCAATTTCCTACTAATCTTCGTCTCATAGTCGTCAATAAGCACAGTATGTACTTACTTTTTGTTGTTTAGCATATATAATTTCTTTGTTTTTGCCACAGGCAAAAACAAAGCAGACTTTAATAAGTACCGTATTTTATTTGACAGTTTAGCATACGTATTTATACCAAGTATTAGTGCATGCAATAAGACCTTTATTACTCACTCTTCTTATAGATCTTCCTCTCTACAGACATCAATGAGCACAGTGTTAGCCTTGTACAACCTGGCTCGGAACCCTGAGAAGCAGGCGAGGCTACAGGAGGAGCTGGACCAGGTGTTGGGTGATGGCAATCAGCCTCTCACAACCAACCATCTGGCTAGACTCCCTTATCTTAAAGCTTGTGTGAGGGAAACTCTCAGGTGAGGAATCCTCTTAATGACATTAAAATAAAAGTGAGTATGAAAAAGAGAAAGAGAATAATGATTAAGGAATGATACGGTTTGGAAATTAGGGGGAAATATCGGATAAACGCAGTGTTTAAAATATTTTACATTTATATATGCACATAAATCATGAAATACCTTCACTTATGAGTTTACTTAATGGCTAGATATATAAAGTTTTCAACAATGTGCCAATGAAAAATAAATACTCAGTTTCAAAGACCTATCAATAGGTAAGGATTATGAATTTTAAAGAGATTGCAGCAAGTTTTTCTCAGGCTACAAAAAAAAAAAGAAAAAAGTAATTTTCGTCATTTTATTTTCACGTTGAAAGTGCTAACCTCGAAGCTTTTATTAACACTTTCAGGATGCATCCGATATCGTCAATTGTACCGAGGCGACCTGACCATGACGTAACTCTGCAGGGCTACAGAGTCAAAGCTGGAGTGAGTACTAATATAATTGTCAATTTATTCAGAAAAATTTTGACGGGCGTTCCAGACCATGCTAGACCGGAAACGCCTTCTGAAGTTCTCGTTTCAGATTATGGGTCAGTTGAGAATTGCATCAGCAAATGTATTGTGAGGAATTTTTTTTGTGACTAAATTCTTTGTTTCATAACTCCGTCTCCAAAAGCTACGCTGTTATCTCTTCCAAGTAGTGAATAGCAGATGTGGAAAATTACATTTATCTGAATGTATCATTATATACATAACAGTAAATGAACATAGATAATTATTATTTATCAGTTAGACAAGTAGGAATTTGGGACACCTAGGTCGCAAAAAATGTCCCCCTTCGATACCTACCACTGTCATAGCCACAAGTTGCTCTGGACCTATTAATTAAATGAATTATACATCTCCAGAAATACTGGTAAATATATAAATTTGTGGACTGTATATTAAATTAAAAAATGATTATATATAAACACATATACATAACAGAAGGAGAATATCTTAAAATCATAACACTCACCAACTTGACTGGAGATTAATGTGTCATGTACAGGACCCCCTCTTTTGCCTACATTTATGAAGAATTTACTAGCCAGAAATTAAACATAATTTAGACAGCTTATCTGAGGTTCCTGGAGTTGTCCTGTCCTGTCACCTGATTCTCAAATTATGCAGGAATGCACATCCAACAATTTCGCCTCCTATTTGAGAGGTGTCAGCCCGATTTTAACCTCTAGAGCACGAAAAATTCTTCCTATTAATCACAACGTGTTATTCAATTCAAACAAAATGGCGACTCCTGCGCAGACGCAGGCTTTCCGTTTTCTATGACATAAATATTATTAAATACAGTATGGCCATCTATTTACATATAACTACTGGATTTCTAGAAAATATATCCAGCATTTTCCACAGAAGATGCAAGAGTGCACATTTAATATTAGGGTATGAGATGGTATATTTTTCAGTCAGCCAAAGATTCTACCAAATTCGTTTTAGAGAAGCCTATCAAAAGAAACCTTGGGTGACTGTTGGACTTTGTGGAACACATTTTCGGTGACTTGATTGTCGGGACGAGATTGTTTATTGCCTACAGGTATGAGAGTAAAGATACAAGTTGTAAAGTACACACACACACACACACACACACACACACGCGCGCGCGCGCGCGTGTGTGTGTGTGTGTGTGTGTGTGTGTGTGTGTGTGTGTGTGTGTTTCATTGTCATTGTAATAAATAAGTGGACCGAGATATACATCCTCAAACACAGTTTCAAGAGCATTTAAGGTATAACCTGAGAGGACAGGTATCAATAATGCCAGGAGCTGCGACTCGACCCCCATATGAAGACAATAACTCAAGTCACAGAAAACCTTTGATACAACAGTTTATCCTGTGTAAGTCTCATCTTTGCGTGACTCCATCTATATACTTTTCGGCAATAGACCATTTTACCCAGTTCGACTCTTGCAAACCTAACTCATTAAGTACAGTTCGATGAGCACACGTTTATTAAAGTATTCTTCGTTTTGGCAGACTAACATATTCGTCTGCATTAGAGAATCGGGCATGCTGGAGGAATACTTCCCCCGGGCGACGGAGTTCCTGCCGGAGAGATGGTTGAGGGACAACCCAGACCGTCTCCAGAACCAGTTCGCCTCCATCCCCTTCTCCGTGGGCACTCGCATGTGTGTAGGCAGGAGGCTGGCTGAGCAGGAGATTTACGTTCTCCTCGCAAGGGTAGGTGGTAATGTTATCTTAGTCAAATTTCCTATGAAATCACCCCGGGCACCTGTGTCATTACTTCTATGAGAGTCAGGAATTATTTTTTTTTATTAGTTGAGGTTACTTTGTTAGTAGGCACTTTCTGCATTATTTCTGAAATCCTGAATTTGATTTCAAATGGATAAATACAGTAGCTGCATATGCCTACAAAAATATCAAGTCTCAGACTGAGATATAAATATATAGATCTATTTTAATCTGTTTTATTTTCAGTCCAAGTGTTTTTCCTTCACACACACACACACACACACACACACACACACACACACACACACACACACACACACACACATACATACATACATACATACATACATATATATATATATATATATATATATATATATATACATATATGCAAAACAACCACTGTGAAAGAATAGAGAAATTCCAAACGCTTTCGTGACTACTCACATTATCAAGGAACGATTGTTCCTTGATAATGTGAGTAGTCACGAAAGCGATTGGAATTAATCTATTATTTCACAGTGGTTGTTTTGCATATTCTGAAATCACCTGTTTACTGTGATCTTATTGCATACACACACACACACACACACACATATATATATATATATATATATATATATATATAATATATATATATATATATATATATATTATATATATATATATACACATATATATATATATACATATATATATATCATATATATATATATATACATATATATATATATATATATATATATATATATATATATATTATATATATATACTATATATATATATTTTATATATATATATAATATATATATATATATTTTATAAATATATATAATATATATTTATATATATATATATATATATATATATATATATATATATATATATATATATATATATATTATTATTATTATTATTATTATTATTATTTCAGCTGTTCTTGAAATATAATTTGGAGTACAAGTACGCTGAGTGGGACCCAGTGTTTAGAGTCATCTACAAGCCTGACAAGCCTCAAAACTTTACCATGACAGAACGCTGAAGTTCTGGTATCCACACGCCGTCTGCTGTCTGCAGACAGCAAAATGGTTGCAGTGGGTCTAGAATGATCCCTTGAAGACACAGTCTCTCGCATCTTATAGCAAAATGTAAAGTTTATATATTATACGCAGACTCTTTAGTAAATAATTAATCATTCTTGATTTTGAGTCACAGGTTATGGTCAGTGGAGGCTCATGACTCAGTGTATGTACGCTGAGTGTACACTATTACCTATTTTAGGGATTAAAATATGGTTGATTGGTGAAGAATAGTTTGGATGCAGCCGTAATGACCCTCTATGTAGTCGACTTGCTTTAAAGCCCATTAACTGACAAACTTGCATTTTATCCAGAAATCATGTATACATACATTTAATTTCTAATTCATTAGGAAATACAGAGTTTTTTAAAATTTTGGTGAATTTTGATTCAAAGGGGGCGGAGCTCCCTTTTCCTTCCCTTTGGGACCCCAATTGTCTCCATTATCCTATCGTTTTTATGGCCCTAAAATTTTAGTCTTTCTCATTTTCAAAATACACTGATAACGTATCACAACTGTCTTCCCGTTTGGGTTGGGGTATTTGATGGAAAATAATCCTATTCAGTTTAAAATTTTTAATATAATAAATATAATATATATAAAAATAATATATATTTATAATTTAATATACAAGATCATGCTCAAATAAGTTGGGATTATGGATTGGTAAAAATTTATATTTCCCTTTTCTTGATGTCAATAAAGTTTTTAAAGAAAAACGTTGTTTTCCCACCAATATGTTTAGCTTTAAAAAAATAATAATAATAATAAAAATAATAATAATAATAATAATAATAATAAAATAATAATAATATTTAAATTTATTTAATCAAAGGGATAACTATATTTTTTTTAAAAAATAGAAAAATTCCTCAGTTACTATCGTCATATAAGATGTCTTTTGAGGTCGGTGAAAGGCTCTTGATCCAAGAATAGATTTAAATTTTTCGCCTTTTTGTATGAAACCTGACTAAACCACACACACACCCCCAACACACACACACACACACACACACACCCCACACACAAACCATGACAGAAGAGGTATGATAAAGCTCATGGAGCAGGGAGAGAGTGGACCTTGTAGCGGCCAGTGAAGAGGCGGGGACAGGAGCTGTGACTCAACCCCTGCAGCCACAATTAGGCGAGTACACACACACTCGGGGCCAGGAACTACGACTCGACACCTGCAATTACAATTAGGTGAGTATATACTTTTTTTTTCTTTCTTTCGTTTTCTGTTTCTTTTCAACAAGTCGGCCGTCTCCCACCGAGGCAGGGTGACCCTAAAAAGAAAGCAAATCCCCAAAAACAAAATACTTTCATCATTCAACACTTTCACCTCACTCACACATAATCACTGTTTTTGCAGAGATGCCCAGAACACAACATTTTAGAAGCATATACGTATAAAGATACACAACATATCCCTCCAAACTGCTAATATCCCGAATCCCTCCTTTAGAGTGCAGGCATTGTACTTCCCATTTCCAGGATTCAAGTCCGACTGTATAAAAATAACCGGTTTCCCTGAATCTCTTCACTAAATATTACCCTGCTCACACTCCAACAGATCGTCAGGTCCCCAATACCATTCGTCTCCATTCACTCCTAACGAACACGCTCATGCACGCCTGCTGGACGTCCAAGCCCCTCGCCCACAAAACCTCCCTTACCCCCTCCTTCCAACCTTTTCGAGGACGACCTCTACCCCGCCTTCCTCCCCCTACAGATTTATACGCTCTCCATGTCATTCTACTTTGATCCATTCTCTCTAAATGACCAAACCACCTCAACAACCCCTCTTCAGCCCTCTGACTAATACTTTTATTAACTCCACACCTTCTCCTAATTTCCACACTCCGAATTTTCTGCATAATATTTACACCACACATTGCCCTTAGACAGAACATCTCCACTGCCTCCAACCGTCTCCTCGCTGCTGCATTTACCACCCAAGCTTCACACCCATATAAGAGTGTTGGTACTACTATACTTTCATACATTCCTTTCTTTGCCTCCATAGATAACGTTTTTTGTCTCCACATATACTTCAACGCACCACTCACCTTTTTTTCCCTCATCAATTCTATGATTAACCTCATCCTTCATAAATCCATCCGCCGACACGTCAGCTCCCAAGTATCTGAAAACATTCACTTCTTCCATACTCCTCCTCCCCAATTTGATATCCAATTTTTCTTTATCTAAATCATTTGGTACCCTCATCACCTTACTCTTTTCTATGCTCACTTTCAACTTTCTACCTTTACACACACTCCCAAACTCATCCACTAACCTTTGGAATTTTTCTTTAGAATCTCAAATAAGCACAGTATCATCAGCAAAAAGTAACTGTGTCAATTCCCATTTTGTTCTGATTCCCCATAATTTAATCCCACCTCTCTCCCGAACACCCTAGCATTTACTTCTTTTACAACCCTATCTATAAATATATTAAACAACCATGGTGACATTACACATCCCTGTCTAAGGCCTACTTTTACTGGGAAGTAGTCTCCCTCTCTTCTACACACCCTAACCTGAGCCTCATTATCCTCATAAAAACTGTTTACAGTATTTAGTAACTTACCACCTGTTCCATATACTTGCAACATCTGCCACATTGCTCCCCTATCCACTCTATCATATGCCTTTTCTAAATCCATGAATGCAATAAAAACTTCCCTACCTTTATCTAAATACTGTTCACATATATGCTTCAATGTAAACACTTGATCTACACATCCCCTACCCACTCTAAAACCTCCTTGCTCATCCGCAATTCTACATCCTGTCTTACCTGTAATTCTTTCAATTATAACCCTACTGTACACTTTTCCTGGTATACTCAGTAAACTTATTCCTCCATAATTTTTACAATCTCTTTTGACCCCCTTCCCTTTATATAAAGGGACTATACATGCTCTCCACCAATCCCTAGGTACCTTCCCCTCTTTCATACATTTATTAAACAAAAATACCAACCACTCCAACACTATATCCCACCCTGCTTTTAATATTTCTGTCATGATCCCGTCAGTTCCAGATGCTTTACCCCTTTTCATTCTACGTAATGTCTCACGCACCTCCCCTACACTTACAACCTGTTCTTCTTCACTCCTAAAAGATGGTATACCTACCTGGCCAGTGCACGAAATTGCTGCTTCCCTTTCTTCGTCGACATTTAAAAGTTTCTCAAAATATTCTCGCCATCTACCCAAAACCTCCATCTCCCCATCTACTAACTCCCCTACTCTGTTTTTAACTGACAAATCCATTCGTTCTGTAGGCTTTCTTAACTTGTTTAACTCACTCCAAAATTTTTTTCTTATTTTCATTAAAATTTCTTGACAGTGCCTCTCCCACTCTATCATCTGCTTTCCTTTTGCACTCTCTCACCACTCTCTTCATCTTTCTTTTACTCTCCATATACTCTACTCTTCTTATAACACTTCTGCTTTGTAAAAACATCTCATACACTAAATTTTTCTCGTTTATCACACCCTTTACTTCATCATTCCACCAAACGCTTCTCTTTCCTTCTGCACCCACCCTTCTATAACCACAAACTTCTGCCCCACATTCTAATACTACATTTTTAAAACTATTCAAACCCTCTTCAACCTCCCCACTGCTCATACTTGCACCAGCCCACCTTTCTGCCAATAGTTTCTTATATCTCACCCAAACTTCCTCCTCCCTTAGTTTATACACTTTCACCTCCCTCTTGCTTGTTGTTGCCATTTTCCTCTTTTCCCATCTACCTCTTACTCTAACTGTAGCTACAACTAAATAATGATCCGATATATTAGTTGCTCCTTTATAAACGTGTATATTCTGGAGCCTACCCATCAACCTTTTATCCACCAATACATAATCTAACAAACTACTTTCGTTACGTGCTATATCATACCTTGTATATTTATTTAAACCTCTTTTTCATAAAGTATGTATTACTTATTACCAAACCTCTTTCTACACATAGCTCAATTAAAGGTTCCCCATTTTCATTTACCCCTGGCACCCCAAATTTACCTACTACTCCCTCCACAACATTTTTGCCCACTTTAGCATTGAAATCATCAACCACCATTACTCTCACACTTGGTTCAAAACTCCCCATGCATTCACTCAACATTTCTCAAAATCTCTCTCTTCTCCAAGTGCATATACGCTTACTATAACCCACTTTTCACATCCAACCTTTATTTTACTCCTCATAATCCTTGAATTAATAAAGTCCCTCTTTTCCTGCCATAACTTATCCTTCAACATTATTGCTGCTTCTTCTTTAGCTCTAACTCTATTTGAAACCCCTGACCTAATCCCATTTATTCCTCTCCACTGAAACTCTCCCACCCCCTTCAGCTTTGTTTCACTTAAAGCCAGGACATCCAGCTTCTTCTCATTCTTAACATCCACAATCATCTCTTTCTTATCATTTGCACAACATCCACGCACATTCAGACTTCCCACTTTACCAATTTTCTTCTTCTTATTCTTTTTAGTAATCTTTACAGGAAAAGAGGTTACTAGCCCATTGTTCCCGGCATTTTAGTTGACTTTTACAACACGCATGGCTTACGGAGGAAAGATTCTTATTCCACTTCCCCATGGATATAAAAGGAAAAGTAATAAGATCAAGAACTATTAAGATAAGATCAAAGAAAACTCAGATGAGTGTGTATAAATAAACATGTGCATGTATATGTAGTGTGACCTAAGTGTAAGTAGAAGTAGCAAGACGTACCTGTAATCTTGCATACTTATGAGACAGACAAAAGACACCAGCAATCCTGCCATCATGTGAAGCAATTACAGGCTTTCGTTACACACTCACTTAGCAGTACGGTAGTACCTCCCTGGGTGGTTGCTGTCTACCAACCTATATATATATACACGTGTATATATATATACATACATACATACATACATACATACATATATATATATATATAATATATATATATATATATATATATATATATATATATATATATACATATATATATAT